TACACATGGGGTCCAGGTCACTGCTGTGGACCAGGAATTGGTGGGCCAATTTCTGGCCTTCATTATCCTAGGGTGATTCTCCCTGATCTCCAACCCTGAAGCCAAAGTGTAGAGAATCCAGTAACACCTGGCCAGCAAGGACCACATGCCAGGCTGCAATAGTGCACAAGGGGTGCTGAAGGAGTCTGAGGAACAGAGAGAGGGAGCAACAGAGCACATGAGGCTTGGGAGGATAGAAGGGGAGAGGTACCCCCCTCCTCAGAGCAGCTGGTGCAGGGGCTGCTGGAGGATGGAAGGGGCAGCCAGAAGTGTGTCTTTGTCTGTGGGACCCTTGGGAGGGCAGGGGGAGGAGCTGGTAGTGTGCTTACCTCCTTGTACAGGGACTGGGCACTGTAGCACCCCTGAGGGCATCTTACAGCATCTTAAGGTGCCACTGCACCCTGGCTGAGCATCACTAGTGTAAGCAGATACAGAGAACTGCTTTCTGTTACTCCAGAGTCAAGGTAGCCATAAAATAGTTTAAACTGCTGGAGCAGCATCAAAGCAGCCAGACCACACAGGTATGTGTGGCCCACAGTGTTTGCAAACAAAACTATCATCATCATCATCCTCAATATTAGTAGCAAGAACATATTAATGATATAATAAGTCTGCCAATAGTAACAAACATCCTGTGAGGCAAGTAGAATTCCTATTATGCCTCCTCTTTTACAGATGGGAAACTGAGAAGGCAAGGTGAATTACTAGACGCACGCTACACAGAGAGGCAGGAGTTAAGAAGCCCTGAATACTGGTTGCCTGCTGTAACTGTATACTTCAAAACAAAACACATCTGAAAGATATTGTGACCACTGAAACCGTCTTTAGGTCCAGTTACAATTAAAAATGCACAACTAAACCTTTGTTATTGAACCAATAATGATACCGCTGTAACACAGTGAGTGATGAGAGATTAAAGATTTTAAATGTCTTATTATTAATACCTTGTCTTGGAAGTCCATGATTTTTTTCCTCTCTCTCTCTCAGAACTCTCAAAGGTTCCTGGCAGGTACAGACATGCTTTTTTCATTACAGTGCTGAATTATGGCAATAACCAATTCCCAGTGTCCCCAAATTATAAACAAACGCCATTGTGCAGAACAATCATTTAATGTCTGGTGTCTTAAAAAGGCTTAATGACCAATGTTTTAATGAAGAAAGTTGGAAATCAGCCAACATTTTATGGCCATATATTTAAGAAACAGAGTCATAATCTGTATTTAAGGTTAAGAAAAGCCTTTAATCCAGATGGTCAGACTTAAGTAAGAGAGTGTTCTTAAAGTTTTGCACAAACATTACTGAAAGTAAAAGTAACTTTCTTATTAACAGCAATAAATTATTCTATGTAAGTGCTTGTACATTTGTGTTGCATAATACATTGAAAAACACAGAGGAAACATGATGCAAATGTATTATTTCTCAGCAGTAATTTATTTACAAACTAAATTTGAGGACTAAAAGGCCAGGGTTGTCTGACTGTGCTGCCCCAACAGCCTCAAACAACAAGAGAGCCACATCTTGAAAGCAGCACTATGACTACATATACTTGCTTTGCTCTCTGAACTTCTGGTGCCAGACAGCAGCCATCATTACCAAACTTCCAGAGTATGTGTATACTCATGCACTTCTTGCAGGTCCACTCAGCAGTTATGCCAACCGAGCGTACACATTAGGGTATAGAAGAGTATACACACTAGGGCTGTGCAAAGCTTCAGTTCGCGATTTGATTCAGAAAAGATTTGGCCCAATTTGGAGGCCGAATCTTGAAATCGAACCACTAGAAGCTTAAAACTTTCCGAATTGATTTAGAGCCACTGAATCGATTCAGAAAAGATTCACAGGTTTTGGGGGGGTGGTTCAGGGGAAACAGAAACTTAGAAGACGGAGGGGGATGGGGGGGGGGGAAGGACTGACATCATCTCTGGCTGGCCAATGAGTGTGATCTCTCCCTGAGTCCCCTTTCAATCACAGCATCTGGGGGAGGGACACTGAAGCAGCGTAAAAGCCTCTGTCTGCAGGTTTTCTGTCCCTTTTGTGAGCTGTTTCTACCTGACTTAGCAACAGCATCTAAAAGGTACTGGGCTGGTTTGGCTTCCTAGTCAGTCGCCTGCTCCTTTTTGTTCTCAGAAAGGATTGGACAAGATATAGCTTAGCTTAGCTTAGAATCCCTCTACTTTCCATATCCTTATCCAATTCACTTCTTTCAATTTATACTTGTTCTCTTTTTTCCCCAATACTTTTTAAAAAGACAGCTTAGTGTTTTCCCTGGCAGTGTAATATATATCACCATGCAGAGAAGCAAACATAAAAAGGTAGCCTGCCAGAGCATCTCTGTGTTTGTCCCTTTCCTCGGTGCTGAAACACGCTGCCTGCCCTACAGGGCAGGCAGCGGTGCAAGCTGCAGGGACCTGGAACTGGCTTCATGCGAGGCAAGTAGGGGGTTGGAGGGCTCGAGGAGTAGGGAAGGGGGCCCCAGCCCCAGTTTGTTTCCCCAACTCCCCATTCATTCTCCCAGCTCCCTGTTTGTTCCCCCTGCCCCCGCATTCATTCCCTTCACTCCCCCACACTCACCCGCAGTAATAGCAGCCTCCAAGGCTGGAGATGAGCAGGGGAAGTCTTCAGCTGCTTCCCAGAGGCTTGTCTCCAGCCTCCCAAGGCTGGAGATAAGCAGGAGAATATGCACAGGTATGAAGACAATGAACAGGAGGCTGGAGATAAGCAGGGGAACAAGCAGGGGGTTGGAGACAGACAAGCCCCTGGACAGGAGATGGAGAATTCCCCTGCTGTCTCCAGCCTCCTGCTCCTTCTCCTCTCCAGCCTCCTGCTCATCTCCAGCCTTCATCTGGGGGACTTTGGAGTCTCACTCGCATTTTCAAAAGTGACTTAATGTAAGTGATACAACACTTAGTGTGTTGGACTTTCAATGAGATCTTGATTTCTAAATCACATAGGTGCTTTTGATTCCTTTCCTTTCCTTGTAACACCCTGGCCACTATTTTAGGGTTGTAGATAAAATAGACTCAAAAAAGTTTTTAGGCACCAGGGACAAAGGACCCAATGCAGTTCTCATTGAAGACAAAGGAAAGACTCCCACTGATTTCAGTGGAAGCTGGATCAGGCTCCTATGTGGATTCAAGTCACAACTCCAATATTAAAATATTTTCTGTTTGGATTCCATTTTAAGTTGCATGAAACATGCTTGTGAGGCTGGAGATGAGCAGGGGAACAAGCAGGAGGCTAGAGATGATCCCCTGGAGAGGAGCTGGAGACTTCCCCTGCTCTCTCCAGCCTCCTCTTCATCTCTAGCCTACCAAGGCTGGAGAGGAGCAGGGGAATGAGCAGGGGACTGGAGACCAGTGGGGGGTGGGCTGAGGGGAGCTCTAGTCCTTGGGAGTGGGGCTAGGACCCTGCAGGCAGGGTAGTCCATGTGCTGTGTGGGGGTGCTCTGCCCTGTGCGGGGCAGGGGATCCACCTGTCCTAAGCAGCCCCTACACCCACTCACACACAACCTTGCACCCCACTTCTCACCCCCCTCCTGCAAACCCCACATCCCCCATCACACACCCAGCATGTGATAAGGAAACCAAAAGCAAATATTAAAACAGAGATATTTAGGATTTATTTTATTATGATGCTAGAGACACTGGTAGGCTTTGAAATTGCTTTAACATTGTAAATATAGCAATAAAACATTGCCCATCTGATCAATCCCTCTCTCTCTCTTTTGTTCTAGTTGTGGAAGAATGTGGATTTTGGGGTATTTTAAAAAGTGAATTTGGGATGCTGCTTCAGCAGTCTAGTTGACACAAGGGGCTAGTGTCCCCAGACACCAAGTGGCTGGGTCTCAGAAGCTCCTGTCTATTTGTATCTTGCAGAGATTGTGGGCCTTAAGGCCCACTTAGTTAACTAACAGCCCCCACTGTGTGGAGCCAAAGTTTGAAAGATACAACTAATCATTTTTTTTTTTGGTGGGACAACTAAGGAAGAAGAGGGTAGGAGTGATTTGGGGGTCAAAGGTTCAAAACATGAAAAGAAGTTCTCTGGAGGGGGACACTGAGCAGAGCCCCCCGGGCCGGACCCACCGGTACTCAAAAGCATCCAAGGAGCTGGTGGATGCTGCCCACTTGCGCTCTGCCCAGAAACGTGCACAGACAAGGTAGAGGAAAATGGTCCCACAGTCTCCGGGCACCTTCCCGGTCAGACCCTCCTTCCCAGTCAAGTACAGGGCCCACTTGGCCAGGGCCAGGAGGAGGTTGACCAGGAGGTCCCGGGACTTGGTGGGGCCATGGATGGGATGACAAAAAACAAAAAGGTGGAGGGTGAAATTCAACCAGAACCTCAGGAGGAGGTTCTGGAGGTGGAAGGGCTACAGCCTGGTACACTCAAGGGCCATGTGTACTAGGGTCTCCCTCTGCCTGCAGAAGGGGCAGAAGACTGGGGTGTCCATGAAGCTTGACTCATACATGCCTGTGGCAACAGCTCCATGGAGGAGGTGCCAGATGAGGTCCCCAGTGGCTTGTAAGATGAGGGTGGAGTACAGACTCAGCCACTGGGGTGCCCCAGCCATGCGATCACTGAGCACATCCCACCACTTGGTGTCAGGGCGGGACGCAAGGGTGGCATGATGAATTGTGCAGCATGTGAGTGTGTAGAGGTGACGGTGATGGATGGTGGAAAAGTGGACCAGTCTGGTGTCCTCCAGCCAGCTTAGGTGGTGAAGCAGGAAGTGCCACAAGGCTAGGTGAGGTGCTGGCTCCACGACAAACTCCGGTGGGCTGGAGGACAAAGCAGGGGGCAGGCGGTGGGGACTGCCACTGCGCAGGACCTGGTCAACATGGGCAAGGGCATTGGGAGGTAGGGCAGATTTTACCACCTGGACCAAATGGCAGGTCACACGTGTCATGGGTAGACCCATGCGCCGGGCTAGCACAGCTGGGTCCACCCATTCCTGCCTGTCGTAGTCCAGGAGGTCTCCGATACAGGTGACACCAGCCAGGATCAACCTCTGTTGCAACCAGGGTGCCTCTGCTGTTGGCACCTCTAGCTGGGGGTTCCAGAGGAGGAGCTCAATGAGCAGGTTGGCACCCTGGGGGACTGTTGCAGGGGACCTGGAGATGGAGACCAGTCTCCAGGCCCGGAGGAGGTCCTGGTAGAAGTCCGGCAGCCCTCACAGGTCCTGCAGGGAAAAACCCCACAGGTTGAGGAGCTGCCAGTCATATTGGAGCCACTGGAAGTGGCGGGGGAAGGCACGCCCAGGTGGTCCCATGCCATGTGGCTACCGATACCGTATAGCAGTTGCTGCAGGGCCTGAAGGCTGGACATCAGGCCCTGCCTGTGGAGGCAAACCAGGCCCTGGCTGCCCTCCCACAAGGGGAGGCTCAGGACTTCTGCAGTGACCCAGTGCTGTTGTGGTCAGAAAAACTCCAGTGCCCATCTCTGGAACCCTGCCAGGACTTTGTGGGGGGGGGGGGGCACAGGCAGGGTGCGTAAGCGGTGCCAAAGCATGGACAGGACCAGCTGGTTCAGCACCAGCACTCTCCCATGCAGGAAGAGACACCTCAGGAACCCTGCCCTTGCCCGGAGCCACTCCACCACCCTTGCCTGCAGCTGGTTCCAGTTCTCCGGTGGGGAGGGGTCTGTGGGGGACAGGTAGACCCCCAAGCAGAGCAGTGAGCCTGTTCTCCAGTGGATCCCATGGAGTGCGGGTGGGAGTGAGCCCACCTGCCACCCGTCACCCACCACCATGCCCGGGCAGAGGAGGTCGCGAAGTACAATGCTTGGCAGGCCTCCACCAGGTCACTGAGTCCTGGACCATGAGGAGTACATTGTCAGCATATGCTGACAGAACCAGCTGCACCACCGGCTCCTGGAGCAGTGCGGGCTCCCTCCCCAGGCTGTCCCCCGACTGCGGCTGGGCAGCAAGCTGGAACAGGGGTTCAGAAGCTGGGGTGCGGTGCTTGGGTGCAGTGCAGTGTGGTGGGCCCCTCCCCACGGGGGCAATG